TGCTCTCTTTTATAGACCTTGATAGGATTTGTATTTTTGTTGATAGAGCCACAAAAAGTGGTGTATAGTTGTTAAAGGAAAGCCCTGTGTTTACACCTTGAAGCTTTCTCTCTCCTGTTCTTTTTTCCTGAAAAGAGATCACTCTGTACACACTCTTTAAATGACACTTCATAATGTATATGTATTAAATAACCATGAGACAAGACAACAGATTTTGATACAACTTGTAATCTCACTCAGATCAGAGAAGTTGCTTAGAGTGACAGAAGGCAGCTTCTTATTAACCGGGCTCTCTTCTTGGGAAGTGTCCCTGATAAACAGTTAAAGAAGCACTTTATACAACTCCAGTCTGCCACATCACATCATTACATCAGATGCGTTTGCAGGTGAGGGGACATCCACAGCTCCAGCCTTATCAAAATATTACACTTTGTTCTTAATTAAAGGACACCGCTTTCATTCCATTCCCAAATCTTTGCCGCATACAGAATGAAGATTCTAACTGTCTATATCAGAGAAACAGTCTTAATTAGATAAACTAATGGGGAAAACATCAGTTCTGACACATGACAGGCAAGTAATATTGGGCTGTAATAAACTCACACTTCATCAATGATAATTATCCTAACAGTTGCTTGTTGTAATGAAAATGATGCATAAATTTGAAAACCTCTTATGAATGTGGAGTTTGTATTTGTATTTAACCGCCCTGAACTCTTAATGACCACATTTCTTATCTGATGCTTCTCCTCCTTCCTAATTTTTGTCCTCTTCTTGTTTTTTTTTTTGCAGTTGCCAACTTCGAGGTCCTGAGTGGGCTCAGGAATAAGCCATTTCCTATATATTGTCCCAGAGCCCTGAAGAAAGTGTCCCCAGATTACCTAAACCCCACTTCCTGTTCATCCATCCCCCTTATTTTACCTTTAATCTAGAACTTTTGTGTTGTAGTCTTTGCTAGCTAGCCTAGTGTAGTAGTCCACAAGTTATCTAAATTGCTTTTTATTATGAATTCTGAGTAAACCCTTCTAACCAGGTCCAAACCAAGGCATAAGTGAATTAAGCAACTTCTTAGGGCCCAAAGAATAATTTATCTTTTTTTGTATGTATGTATAAATTGTATAACAATTTGTATAAAATTATAGTACAAAAATACAATTTCATTATAAAATTATGTAGTTTTTACTTTAGCATGTTTATTCATGTAGAAATAATGTGAAAATTATTATATCTGTTCTTGTATTCATTTCATTTTTATTTATTACAGCCATTTTATTTGTTTATCTTTCCCCTCCAGCTTATCTTTACACGTTGCATTTGAACCAACAAATATGAACCATGTGAAACTTTACTATAAATAAACTTCATACAAGGTTTTATTTATCAATTTTAGCATGCGCATAGAAGACTGTAAATAGGACTGTCAGAGCTGCAATGAGTTTAACATAGGTTTGTGAATATTCTTATGATCAGAATTTTAATTAATGTAATGGATATCATTGGTAGAAAACGTAGTACCCCAATATCTAATTTTACTCAAGGCCCCGTGGAGGCTTGGACCGTCAATGGATCTAACACAGAACTATACTTCGCTCTAAACCAGGTTTCCTTTTTTAAAGATTTTAGAAATCATATATATTTTCCTTCTTCCTCAATGTTCATGTGCACTTTTGCATTGCATGAATTATTGAATTCTACAGATAATTTTGTTTATTGAATGTATATTTCTGTCTGTATGTCTGCCTTGTTAAACATAAATCCTCAACTTCATGTAACTACGAAATCAAATGCATGTGTTTTAACACTAAATGCCTGTTTGCAATGCAGGATTAGTGCCAAAAATATATTTCCGACCTGCACTGTGACGACTGAGAGAGTTATAGTCAATCTAACCAGTAGATGCTGCTCTGATAGTTTCAACCTGATACCAGCAGCAAGGTAACTGCCTTGGGGGCAACTGAGTTTCGACACAAAAAGCCTGTTTGTGACGCATAGAAAGCTGTCACGTCTTGATGAGAAAAGGTACTGAGGAAGTGAAAGTGTTAAAGATAATAACGACGTTTTTTTTTTTCCGTTCAGTTCCTAAGAAGTCTTACTTGGCAAGTGATCAAATAAAGTGTATAAAAGGTGAGGCTCATGGCGCTTCACAGTCAGACAGCCTCAGCAGTGAAGAACATTTCACATCAAGAGGAGCTGCACCACTGCATGATAAACTCTACTAATAATAACCACACAACAAGGATGAATTCTGCGATCCAGTTCATCGTTCTTCTGGCCTGCATCTCCATATGCACCTCAGCAAGTAAGTGAGGTTTTGAATTAATATTATTATTTCATGAATATATCCATTCTTAATATATTCCATCATTGTTCCCCCAGGCATTAAGAACTGCCACTGTGTGAAGACAGTCGAAGCAGTGAGGCCCAAACTCATCGCTCATGTCAGAGAGCATAAACCACGTCCATACTGCAGCAAACATGAAGTAATGTAAGTATCTGTAGAAACAAAAAAAGTATTAGATAGACTTACTATAGCATCAGTTATAGGTTGTTTGAATTAACCTGTTTTTTTCATCTCCTGCAGTGTCATTCTGAAGGATAAAAGCAAGCTCTGCCTTGACCCAGACTCAGAATTCACTAAAAGAGTTCTGGAAACAAAAAACAAGTAAGTTTCTATTTTTATATTCTTTTCATATCAGTAATAAATCAACACAATACAATAAGAGTTCATGTTTTATTGGTTTTAATAGCATGGAAGTGTCATTAGGAGGATCTGTAAATCAGGAATAAACGCTAATCAGCAAAGAGGCAAAAAAACAGGGAGATCTGAGTAAAAAAGCAGATTTTTTCATGCATGACATTTGCAGTGCTTACCTCAACAGTTAAGACGCTTTTTATTATTTTATTGTTATAAAAATTATATAAATAGTAGCACAATTAAAAAAATGTATACATTCCATCATGCAACCTAATATATATTTATGTGAATATTAAGTCTCAACGTTTTAATCTTGTTTTAAATGTGTTTAATATTTTTACAACTCCTTAACTTACTGGTGTGGTAAATTTACCCTAAATTGTTTTCTTTACAGATCGAGCACAAAATCCACCTAAATGCACACAATCAATCCAAAATCAACCATCAGAGGAGAAACAACTTCTGCAACCAGCATCACTATAACATGCTTTACAGCTTGCAGATTGCATGCAAGGTTGGAGCTGCTGTGCAAGTTCTTCCTGTCTGCACAAACAGCATAGAGCTGTAATGAAGTCATTGCAAACTGTGTTTGCAAAATCTGGGAATTCCTTGTTTGATATGTGATGTGATGTGATATAATAAGGTCAATAATATGGTCAATAAGTTGAATTCAGGTATTTAGATTATTTATGACTCGTTGCTTTTTGGGTTTGTAGTTATTTTATTTACTTTTTTAAGGATTTGAAGGAGTTAAACATATTTATTAATTATTGGGATATGTGTTGATATTTTGTTATTAGATTCATACATAAATGTTCATTGCAACTGCCTGTTGTGTGGCATGATGTCATTGATGAAAACATGATTTATATTAAACCACAATTAATACTACTACTAAAGATGTAGCCTGACTTTTTATTTATTCCCTTTTGTGTGGCATTTTGAAATCAGCTATTTTTAAGAAGAATCACAACAAACTAAACTCTGCCGCATGAATTGTAACCCACACCATAAGAACCGATCCAAGTACATCATTAAAAGATTTACTTATATAATGTATTTATATATTGCCAAATCACAGGAAACACCTAGAGACACTGTTTGTAAAAAGACAATTTGGCATAAATCCATCAAGAAAATCTTTCAAATATAAACACATCATAAAATTAAATTCAAATCCAACTCATCTCAACTCAAACTTTATTTATAAAGCACATTTAAAACAACCGGGGTTGACCAAAGCCCTGTACAAGGATCACAGTTAAGGAACATAAGATAAAAACTGAAGTCTAAAATACATAAACATATTACAAAAGAAAAATTGAATGGAGATAAAATATAATAGGATAAATGTTTCAATTAAAATACATTTCAAAATAAAATACATTTTTGCCAAATGTCGATTTAGACTTGATTGAAAGCCGGGGAAAACAAGTGTGCTTTTAGAGAGGATTTAAAAACCTCAAAGGAGCCTGCCGATTGAATATGCCAAGGCAAGTTATTCCAGAGTCTCGGTGCCGCAGCCATAAAGGCACGATCACCTTTGGTTTTAAGTCTGATTTTAGGCATGACCAGTAGCAACTGATCAGAGGATCTCAGTGTTCTGGCCGGGGCATGGATTTGGTGAGGCTCAGTCAAATACTGGGGGGCTAGACCATTAAGAGCTTTAAAAACAAACAAAATTTTTTTAAATCTATCCTAAAACAACCAGGAGCCAGTGCAATGAGGCTTTAACAGGTAATATGTGGTCACGTTTACGTGTGCCAGTAAGGAGACGGGCAGTTGAATTTGACGGGCAGCTGAAAGTGAGAAGTCCAAGCCATCATATAAAGAATTACAGTAATTCAATCTTGTATTAATAAAAGCATGGATTACAGTCTCCAGATCTGTGTGTGGCAGGTACCCTTTCACTTTTGATCAAATTCTTAACTGGTAAAAGCTGTTTTTACGACCGAACTTACCTGGCGATCAAATTTCAACCTGTCATCAAATATTACACCAAGATTTTTTACTGATGATCGAATGTTAGGTGTAAGAGGGCCCAAGGGGCCAGGAGGAAAACTGCTGGACTAAAACCAAACAGTATAGAGGTCTTACATTTCAATCAGATTCAGAAAGTTTGAGGTCATCCATGATTTAACATTGTTTAAGCAGTCAGGAAAAGACTGTATGGGGTTGTTGGATTTTGTTGCCAAAAGAAAGTAGATCCAGGGCAAATATAGTTCAGTAGAGCTCTAATGATAATGCAAATCAAAATCTGTTTATTATTTTCGTGCTTGGAGACCAAGAAGTGCAGTCGAAACAGGTAACTCCTTAGTAGCCTGGCTGTTACCAAAAGGCCTCTTCTCTCAATGCTCCTGAAATTCTGCCAAATTTGGTATATTATTAAAAATGAAACATAAAAAATTTTATTGAGGTAAATCAAGCTGATTGCATTAAGACCATGTGTGCAGGAATCTCTCCTCCTCCTGAGCACATGTGCATCACTGTATGTCATTACTTGCACCAAATCACTGCATCTGAAGCAATCCCTCATAAATGACCATGAATGTAGCAACAGTAGACAGTTCATCGTATTAAATAATTTCCTTTGCAGTACTCTATCAGTTTGGACATGCATGTAGTTGTAGTTAAGAAAAAAGTTAAAATTAATGGCAGAAATTAAAAAAAGACTGTATAACAGTCTGAAACAGTCACTTCCCTCTGGCAGGAGGCTGCGGTCCATCAAGACCAAAACCTCACGCCACAGGAACAGTTTCTTCCCATCCGCTGCCAGCCTTATGAACAAGGCCCAGAGACCCCCAAGACACTGATACTGCCTCTCTCCCTCCCCTGTTCAGGACCTAGAAGCTACACTAACAAAGCCTCCAGACCACCTTCGTTACATATATGTACTATATGTATATAGAACATAGCTATATACTATATATTGTATATATCATATTGTACACTTATATAACTATAGATCCTGTTTCCTGAGTGTATTACTAATTTGCCTGCACTATCAACATCAAAATAAGTTCCTCTTAAGTGCAAAACTACTTGGCAATAAAACTGATTCTGATTGTGAAAAGAGCGTGGAGAATAGCTTCAGAAGCCATATGTCTGGTTTCTGTGCAACTTGTTAGGAATCCAGTTTGTGTGGATTGTTCTGTGCTTGTCTCTCCCACCACCACCAGGTGGCGCCCTGTCCTCATTAGTCCTCCTGCCCACCTGCGGCTCATTGCTTCATCACCGGGGAGTATTTGAGCCGTTGACTGCCACTACCTCGACACCAGAGTGTTTGCCAGTTTTGGGTACTTTTGGGCACCATAAGTGATTAGCTGAGTCTAACCTGTGCTTTGTTTCTCTGAGACTAATTGTGGGTTTTTTTTGTCTTTGCCTTTTGGCAGGAAGCCTTCGCGCTGACTGGAAGTTTTGGCCTTCTCCCCCAGGAAGGATATTTTGTGTTCACAATGAGCTGGGCAAAAAGTTCACTCCGTTAAAGTACTCATACTCCTCAGGGTCCACTCCACCAACCCGTCTGCCCTCCAACGAGTTGCTCTCCCTCTGGAAAACTCACACAATCTGGATTCAAGGCTTTAACTGAGATCCCCTCCTACGTGAGTCCCTTTTTCCTCCATGCCCAAGAACTCTATTCAGTTTCTGAGTTCAAGATTCCACCTCCTGTTATCCTCATCAACAAACCTGAAAGAAACTTTCCCTTGGTTTTCTGAGTGATTTTCTGCATGTGGGTCAGATCCCTTAAAAGCATCATTACACAACTATGACATATAACCATCGCACCCTTCTGATTTATAAAATGCTCTATACTATCTTACATGTTAAACATATAGTTTAGGTAGCAGATACCAAAAAAAAAAAACATATTTAACAAAACAATACCTATGATTAAAGACTAGGGGGAAAAAAGGCTGAGGCAGTGCTAAAGTAACCACAATGACAGATGTCATGTTCCTGAAAGACATGCCAAAACATATTAGAGAAAGATCAAAATAAACAAGTAACACATTTACAAGCAGCAAGATTTTATGTTAAATTTGGGAAATTTTCATGTAGAATTTGTATATTAGAATAAATCCGAACCCAAGTTCCCTCTTAGAAATGTTATTGAGCCCCTTCAAAGGGCACATTCTCATTTTAACATCCTCCTCAGTAGATGTCTGCATTTTGGTCCAAAAGCCCATCTTGATGATGTCTAAGTGTTGGCTGACTGAAATAAATTATTTGAATCCCTACAAACTCCACAGAGTAAAAACATCAGGGTACTTGAGTGAGGGGAGTGTTGGCCTACCCGGTTTGATTCCAACAGCCTGTACTCTGGGTTCTTGAGCAAGACCCTTAATCCCTGATTGCTCACCGGGCCTCCCCACGATGGCCGCCCACTGCTCCCCAAGGGAATGGGTTAAATGCAGAGGTAAATTTCTCCAATGTGAGCTCAATAAAGTTCAGTTATTACTATGTTTGCTGCCACTGTCTGCTTTATTTCCCTTGTTTTCCTACTAAATCCCTCAGTTTAGGAGCTCAGATACTCCTAAAGTGTTAGATATATCAAGTTCTACAAACCATGAAATGAATGAAATCAATCCTTTGAAATTCTTCAAAAGCAGTATAAAACAGCCTACTACAGGGAAAAGGAACTTACTCATACTCTGTCTTATGATCAACTGACCATTAAAATCCGGAATGATGATGAACTTTTAATGAAGAACTCACAAGAAAACCACATTGACCATGAGACCAGTATCAGGGATCTGGCATCATCACTAAGTTGTTGCATAATTATGAAGGGTTCCTTCAAGGACAAAGGACATGTTGAAACAAACCTAAAACTATTAGAGGTCACAACCATGATATTTGGAGCAACTAGAGAAATAGTTTGAGTTTTGCAATAGATCTATTGTGCTAACACCTTCAAAGATGATGACTCAGTAGGTCACTTAAGCAAGCGAGTAGCTCTTGATTCACAAGAAGATAACAGATTTCACTGAAGCGGTAGTGAAAATGGAAGAACATGAGTAATTTAAATTTTTATCATTTCTTAAGAAAACAAAAGTGCCAGCTTTAAAATAATATAAGGTAAAGCTGGTGCTGCTCCAAAGTCAGACAGGAACAGTGGAGAAACTTCACACTGAGGAGGAGAAAATAATTGCAACAAACACAAATTTCTCTCATTTTCACTATTTGAGACAAAAATGAATCCTGCAATCCAATGCATTTTCTTCTGGCTTGCACCACCTACCCCTGCATAAGCCAGATTGACGTGTGTAGTTCAGTTCAAATCCTACATAGTATCAAAGTGGGAAAGCTGTTCATAAAAAGATGGGACATTCAATCCAACGCTTCAAGCTCCTTGAGTACCTGCCTCCCATGTCGACTTTTAAGGCAATCACAGCAGCAGCAGAAGCTAGATTTGTCTCACAATTATTGGAGTTAACTGACATATCAAAGTCTTAACAAATCTGGACGGGAGGAACATCATTCCCATCCACCAAGGCAAAAATTGCATCCTTTTCCTGTTTTTTCAAATAGAAATAGTGGGTATTCCAGCTGAAAATGTCGCAGCCATCATTGTTTTGCGCCTCTCGCTGACGTCATACACGTCCCTGCATTTGATTGGTCCGAAACTTTTCTCTATCGGGGCTAACGTATTTGTTGGAATCTGGTAATATGTATTTTTAAGAGTTTGTAAATTAAAGAATAAAGGTAATGCATCACCATACGCAACTCAGCAAGTAATTCTATTGCCCAAAGATTTAATCCATAAAAGAATGTAATCAAATCATATTAATATTAACAGAAAATAAAAATACAATTTCTCCTCCCACGTATGAGGTCCAGATGTGTTAAGATAGCAAAAACAATTGAACCTTTCTCATCA